ATATGTTTATGCAACTTTGCCTTTTCTTGCAGCTTTTTAACTGGCTCTCATTGGCCTGAAATGGCATGCATGTCTTTTATACTTGTATTACCCTCCTGTAGCCCTCTGGCCCTTTAAAAAATTATCTTGGTCCATGTTTTTTGAGACCTGATCTCTTTCCATATGGTTAGCAGGTGGAGTTTGAGCAGATCTCACATGGTCTGTTGGAGTTGGAAGCAATAATTATTATTCTGTTCTTTTGTTTAAGGAATTGTACTTATATAAAGTGATCAGGGATTTGAAAATTCTGGCATATAAAACAGTAAAACTGTTATTTTAAAGTAGTAATTAGCAAGGGGTTATGAAGCAGAAATTTTATATATATATATATATACACACACACGTATATACATACACATATATGTATGTGTATATATATATAAAATGTGTGTGTGTATATATATTAGGGTTTTAAATACCACAGTAATTTTAGAAAATGATATTGGTTTTACTAAAGAGCCTGAAATCCATCATTATACAACATTTATTAAATGACTATTTGTGAAGTATTTGCTTTGTACAGATTCTCATGGGCTGAAATTATTGGTATGTTGCAAGCAAAGCACAAAAACAAATTATCCCTTAGCGATGTCTTCTTTTTTCAAAGTTTGTGAAATTTGAATCAAGTTTTCCCTTTAGGGACATTCTCTGTCTTTTTCTTGTGGTTTGTGCAGAGAAAGGTGAACTCTGAAATGAGTCTACTTTTAATGTTTTCCAGCAGCACCAGGTGAAGAGAGTGCAACCAGTATAACAAAAAAGCAGGTAATTTAAAATTCTCTCTTCTGATCTTTTCTGGTTGTGTGGGTAGAACAGAGGTAAAATATATACCTACATCTCCTGGGCACAGACTACCCATGCACCTGGTAAAAAAATTTTTTGCGATTTTGAGATAATCCAAACTAAATTAAAGTAACACTTATTCTCTGGAAGAAAAATAGGACAGAAACCTGACACATTTTCCCGACCATGAACAACACACATGTTTGAAGTTTTGAATGCAGAAGTGACTAATAGTTGAGGATGAAATGGCAAGACATGGAAAATTATTAAATGTCCAAATCCACAGTGTTAACTTATTATTTATATCATGTTTTAAAAATGTAAACCCTTCTTTTGGGTTCAGATTATTCTCCTGGGGTTCTTGAGTTTACCTCTTCACTGTATGAAAAGGTGAATAAGCGGAGAGATAGGTTGTAATAAATCTTTTGGTTTTCTTTTGCAGAAGTGGACTGTAGAAGAAAGTGAATGGGTCAAGGCTGGAGTGCAGAAATACGGGGAAGGAAACTGGGCTGCCATTTCTAAAAATTACCCATTTGTTAACCGAACAGCTGTGATGATTAAGGATCGCTGGCGGACCATGAAAAGACTTGGCATGAACTGAAACAGGCTTTCATTTCCACAGAATTTACAGGAGCATGGTTCCTAATAATAGCCCCTGATAGTCTGCTGTTTCTTTCAGAAGCTGGGCTGAGATGAGAATTTTGGGCATCCTCCTCTGACGTGGGGGAGGTCCCAGTTCCACTTCATCACTGTTGGAGATCACGGAGCTGAGAAACAAAGCCAAGTCCACCCCATGTCCTTGGCAGAGATGACAGGCACATAGCTTGTACAGTGCCAGAATATCATTAGTGTTTCCCTTCTTTAGTGGTTTGCTTGAATTTAAATCCCCAGTAATCAGTAGAACCTTCTCCTAGGAAATGGTGGAGTCTGTTAGGAGCCACTCATGACTCTATGACCTGTTAAAACCAGCAACATGAGCATTATTTGGAGTGAACTTGTTCCAGGTAAAGCTTTGGCCTTCTGATGCAAATGCAAAGGAACTTCGTCTGTCATGAGCCCAGGTTGATGAGAGACCAGTCCTGGTGGAATCTGAGTCCCTTTAAAGATTGTTTAGCCAGTGGTGACATCAACACCTAGACCTGACTGCCTTGGCATTTGCTCTTAATATTTGCTGGGCTATGTAGGCAGGTTTAACCTCCACTTCTCATGTGGTTGAACCAGTGTGTTTTTTGGTAAAATGGTGATTGTAGCTAAGCTTAGCCCCTCCCTCCATCCTCTCTTCCCAATTCCTTTCCTTATGCTGGACTTTTAAAGCTTAAAAAAAAAATCCTGATTGAATATAAATGCCTAATTCCATTCTTTGTGAAATGGTTGCTTCCGCCTGATTCCCTAATTGTGCTGTGTTAGTGTCTTGCACTGGAATTTAACATTCCCGTCTCCTTTTGTACTGTGTTGTGCTTGCTGTCTCTCTCTGACATCCTTAAAGACTGTCTTTTTAGCAAAAAAAAAATTTCAGTAAAGTGTTTTCTGTAATCTTTTTTTAAAATATGAGAACTAATTACTGTCTATAACTTGTAGCATTCTTCATTAAAGTCTTGCTTCTCTCAAATTTAAGTAGCTGTTTAATTGCAGCACAGCATGTACAACAGATGAAGGTAGCAAAATGGTGAACACGCTTTGTTGAACCATATTGACTATGTTAAGAAGCTGATGTCAAATTGTATTGGATGTTATAATCCTTGGAATACGTGTTGAACAGAGATGTAGAAGTTTCCTCTTAATTTGTGCATTTCCTCATTTAACATACTTCTCAGAACAAAAAAATTCTCCCTTTCTCACTTTTGAGTGAGTGAAAGGCAAGATGTAAAGAAATAGTAAAGTTTTCTTTTTTTTTTTTGTGAGGAAGATCAGCCCTGAGCTAACATCCATGCCAATGCTCCTGTTTTTTTTTGCTGAGGAAGACCGGCTCTGAGCTAACATCTATTGCCAATCCTCCTCCTTTTTTTCCCCAAAGCCCCAGTAGATAGTTGTATGTCATAGTTGCACATCCTTCTAGTTGCTGTATGTGGGATGCGGCCTCAGCATGGCCGGAGAAGCGGTGCATTGGTGCGCACCCAGGATCCGAACCCAGGCCACCAGTAGCGGTGCGCGCACACCTAACCACTAAGCCACGGGGCCGGCCCAGAAATGGTAAAGTTTTAAAATTCATCCTGTAGTTATAACTTGAAAACTTTGTACAGCTTTATTACCTATTAACTATGTGTTTTGGGCTTTGGTACTACTGTTTTTCTATCAATTAACCCGAAATGAAACTACAGTGAGAAGGTGAGAACTTGATCTCCTCTCCATCCAGCCACCTCCTCTTGATCTGGCTGCAGCTAGTTGTGGTCTCCCTCTGAATCGGATTAGGATCCAGAAACTTTTCTCCCCTCAACTCTCATATCATTAGATGGTGATCTCTAGGTAGAAGAGGGACACTGTGATGCATTTAGAGAAGTAAAATATCCTAATCAGTGTTTCTCAAATTTGAGAAACCCATAGGACCATTAACATTTTTCAAGATAACTTCAGTGTTATTTTTATCGTAGTGTTACTGAAATGTGTACAAACAAAACTATGCCTACAGCTTCCATAGAACTATAAAATTTACCGTGAACTGATGACTGTTTTGCTGAGTCTAAGTCACTGCTAATGACATGAGTAGTGTTAGGACTATGGCAGTGGTGGGACTCAGGTAGGGGTGCCTATGCCACTGTGTGCTGAGAAATGATCCCAGTCTCCTACCTTCACCACCTTCCCCTTAACGAGACTGCTGCAGAGCCACTGTGCCTGCAGAGTGCTGTGATGTCACCTGGCCTTCGCTAGAACTGAACACAATTACAAAGTCTATTCTTTGGTTATTAGCTTGTGACAGTTAAAGTATTAACACTTGAAGTCAATGCAATGAATTCTGAAGCAATATTTGGTTAGAAGGTGCTAATGCTGTTTTGTTTTTTAAGATTATAGCTGAAATAAAAACATTTAGACACTGTCAGAACTCAGAGACTGAAAGAACACTGTCCTGGTGGATAAGTGTGTGTGGCCCACTCAGGGCCCCAGCTGTGCCAGCTGTACTTGTGGGATGGTGAGCTAGCCACTAGAATCCCTGAATGTCCATTTCCTCATCTCTAATGCAGTAGATAATGGTACCTCCCATGTAGGGCTGTTGTGAGAATAAAATAAGATGCAGGTAAATCTCTTAGCTCCGTGCCGGCCATGAAGTCACTGGGTGTTCAATGAGCCCTCTTCCCCCCTGTGGGTGCTAAAGAAGTCATAGATACAAGAAAGATCAAGGGGCCAGCCCGGTGGTGTAGCAGTTAACTTCGCACGTTCCTCTTTGGCGGCCCAGGATTCGCCAGTTCAGATCCTGGGCGCGGACCTACTCACAGCTCATCAGGCCATGCTGAGGCAGTGTCCCACAAAGAAGAGCTACAACTCTAAAACTATGATACACAACTATGTACTGGGGCTTTGGGGAGAAAAAAAGAAAAAGGAAGATTGGCAACAGATGTTAGCACAGAGCCAATCATCTTCTTCAAAAAAAGATCGAGGGTTTGAACAATATGAGAGTCTTGAAGTGGGTTTCGAATAGCTTTAGATGAGTGTATCAGAAAAGTGGAAGGTAGCAGAACGGGGAGGGGATTAACAGTGGAAGGTTCTGACCACTGTCTCTTGCTCACTCTATTCATCCATTTGAAGTTGTGCACACACTTCTAGGCTGGGCTTTGCACTCTATAAACTGTGCCGTGGGCAGAAAGTCCATTGAAACAGGTATTGCCCCATGTGTCTTATAAGAGCAATAGGTATCATCCAGCAATTTGATATAAGAAAAATTTCTGCAGCCAACCTGTCCATATATTCATACGGTTGTAAGTAAACTTACCCAGTATTCATCTCCAAGAAGCAAGAACTGAAAAATGACAGCCCAAAGGAAGGACGGAAATACCTCCTCTGAAGTAGATTCTATCTAGCACCCCTGAAGTAGGTTTGGTAAGCCATGGAGTTTTTGAAGTAAAAGCCAAAACTCTTTCTGTGAGCCAAACATGGCGGTATCATGCCAGTTCTATTATGGAATATCTCTGTGTGGCCCTGAAACTGGCCTGAGTGTGACTTGTGGAGTTAATGATTACCTTAGCAGTTGTCTAAACTCTTGGTTCCACTGGGCTGCAGGCAGTTCACCTGCAGAGGAGTCTCCATAAAGCAGCATGTTTCCTTTGCTCTTTGGGGCTGGACTGGTGGTTCTGAACCTAGTGACCTCTGCTAGGAGCCAGAAGACAGAAACCCTTAGTGGCTCTGGGGACCAGCCACTCTTCCGTGAAGCAGATCGATGTGACTTTGCCATCATGATCCCTCCAGGAGGCACAGAATGCTTTTGGCAATTTGCCCACCAGACTGGATACTTCTATTTCAGTTATGAGGTGGGTACTTGGGCTCCTCTGGCCACACATGGGACTTGGGGGTATTTTTTTGTTTCCTTTTGTAAAGTGGATTAGGTCTTAGACGAACACAAGTTCTGGTTGTCTTTATTATGCTGTGATTCCCCACCTGTTAATGAAATGGACCTGCAGGTAGATGGAAACTCTCGATGGATGAATAGTCACTAAAACATATGGCTTGGCTTCTCAAACTGGGGGTACTGGAAGTGTGCTCAAAGCCACGGGACAAACAGTGTGCCTCTTCCAGGAGAGGTAATCATCACATTTACTCCAATTTGGAGGTAAAGGGGGAGAGAATACATTTTTACAATATTAAAACAATATGGCTATGGTACAAAGTCGAATGAAAAGTCACATGAACTTTGGAGACAGACCCAGAGATTTCAAAGAAAGACACTTCAGTTTATGGGGTTGAGGGAGCAACATTTACTCTGCCTTCAGGGGTAATTCCGGCAAACTGGAGAATCACTGCCTCAAGGTTTCTCTATTCGGTCAGACAGTCCTGTTTCTTTTAGGAAAGAAAATGTCTGCAAGGTGCCTGTTCACAGGCCAAGTACTTTCATCCATCCTGTCGTCTTACACCACAGTGCCCAAGGATGGTCTGATCAATAGTAAAGTTAGAGGCTCTTCATTTCCTTTGTTGTTTATCTTAGAAACCTGTTAAATTTCTAATTTCTCTTTACATAGTAATAGACTATATTGATCTCACTCCACTCCACTGTAACTTAAAACTTATTTTAAATCAACTTATCAGGGCCGGCCCCATGGCTTAGCGGTTAAGTGTTCGCACTCTGCTGCTGGCGGCCAGGGTTCGGATCCTGGGCGTGCACCGACACACCGCTTGTCAGGCTATGCTGTGGCGGCGTCCCATATAAAGTGGAGGAAGATGGGCACAGATGTTTGCCCAGGGCCAGTCTTCCTCAGCAAAAAGAAGAGGATTGGCATGCATGTTAGCTCAGGGCTGATCTTCCTCAAAAAAAAAAAAAAATCAACTTACAGCTTTTTCTTATCTCTGAATTTATAATCGAACAGTAGCTACTAGTCAGCTCACTGTAGCCTGGGTTTATCAGGGCCCAGCTTGGGGACAAGTGCCTGGGTTTATCTGGAACACCGCCAGGGAAGTCAAAACCAAGTAAGTTCAGTTAAGAACTCTACAGCCAGAATCATACATATCAACCGATACACGCCGGCTGTGTGGTCTGAGACATGTCTTAACAGGGATGCTATTGGCATTTTGGGCAATTCTTTGTCCTGCAATACTTTTTTTTTTTTTCTGTGAGGAAGATCAGCCCTGAGCTAACATCCATGCCAATCCTCTTTTTGCTGAGGAAGACTGGCCCTGGGCTAACATCCGTGCCCATCTTCCTCCACTTTATGTGGGACGCCGCCACAGCGTGGCCTGACAAGCAGTGCGTCGGTGCGTGCCCGGGATCCAAACCCGGGCCGCCAGCAGCAGAGCGTGTGCACTTAACCGCTGCGCCACGGGGCCGGCCCCTGCAATACTGTTTCTAACATGGCAGGATGTTCAGCATTGCTGTCCCTCCTCAGCCCCCAACACCATCACTCAATCTAAATTCCCAGAGGATGTTGGGCAGTGCCATCCCTGATTGAGAACCACTGTGCTTACGATCACGGAATGTCAACCTTAGCACTTAGCTAGCTTCTTGGTGATGTAGCAGGGACTTTTCTCCCTCTTGAAATGTGTCTTGGCAGGTTCAGCGGACAGTGGGAATGTCACATTACCGGCATGTTGCTGCCACTGCACATACCCCACAGGGTTTCCTCATAGATACCTCTCAGGATGTTCGGGGCCAGATTAACTTCTCTACCCAAGAGACAGGTCTGTTTTCATCACCACAGCTATTATAATAATAATAATTTTCTTTGAAATTGGGGAAATAATGAAGTACTGAAATTAAGTATCTGAGATTTAAAAGCCCTAGCTTTTTCACATAGGGATGGTGAAATAGTAAGAAAAAGATTTAGCTTTCAACACCAAAAACCAGTTTTCCTGTAGACTGCCGATGGCCAAGAACATTAAGTGGCAGTCCACTGGCAGTTTGGGGCAGAGTCTCCAGGTGACTAATTATTGTAATTCCAGGATCTAGAAGCTCAATTTTATCTCATCATCTCAACTGACCAGATTATAGGAAAGTGACCAAAACAGACCCATTTATGATACAGAATTCCAATTAATAAATTTATTATGGGACAGTATTTCTTTCCAGTCATCAGAATACTTGAGCCAGTTACCAAAAAGCAGACTCAGAACAAAAGGAAATGCAAGGCCATGAAAAATATTCACACTCCACAACAAAGCACTTCTCCAGTCACCAGAAAATTCCTACAGCCAGATTGAGCCTATCCCCATTCTGGACAGCACCAGTCAGTTTTAATGGCTCTCTCTTCTAGCCAGGTGTATGAAAAAAGACAGTGTTTCTCAACAGAGGCATAAGACAATGCCCCTTTGTGTAGCAGAGGATATTCAGCATTATAGGGTATTTAGCATCTTTGGCCCTTACATGCCAGTAGTGCCTTCCAGTCATTTCAACAAATAACACTGCCACACCTTTCGAATCCCACTCCCTGCCACACACAAAGGGAGGCGACCCCAGTTGAGAACCAGCACCAGTCCATGCCCCAAACTATCAGACCCTGTATAGACCACCTTGCAGGAAGTTACTCCAGCAGGATAGCTTCTTTTATTCACAACGCATCAATTCTTTCCCTAGTTTCCAGTTCAGATGGTACCCCCAGCTCTAACGGTGTACAAGCAGCAGGCAAACACCATGCTCTTAATTTCAACTCAATTTGTTGAGCAGAAGGACCTTAATAAGGGAAGTGGGAACTATAGGTTGAAAAAGGGGGAAAAAACATTATTTTCTACCCAGGTTAGAACTAAAGTTACCAATATTTGGCAAAACATGATTATTATAAATAATATTAGGTAAGTTTCATGTAAGATCAGTGTCTTCCACATCAAAAATTGGATCTTTGTGCTTCCAAAGTAAAAAGGTGCTCGAGTAGCACATTTAACACTGGAGAACAGTTATCTCCAGGGAAATTTAGAGGGCGGGAGGTTGGGAGGGAAATTTAGAGGGTGGGAGGGCGGGAGATCAACAAACGGTGGGAGACCAAGACTTGGTAATGATCTAGAGATTCCTACAGGTTTTTATCAGCTTTGTCTAAAAAATCAGCAAAATCGCTTTGGTTCTGTGCAAGTGTACCTCAGTTTTGGAGTCTTCTATGAGGACCCTGAGATGGACCACAAACAGAAGGAAAGAAAACAACTGAATGATACTCTGGATGCAATTGAGGTAATTGTTTTGTGGGAGAGAAACATTCGTGGAAACTTTGAGGAAAGATTAAAACTATAGGAGTAATATCATTTGAGCGGGGACTCATTTAGGTAGAAACCAACCAGACAATGGGATTTGAAGCCTTTAATTTTTATGACTCGAAGCTCTTGAAATTCCTCACTTGTTTTATACAAAGGGGTTGGCAAACTATGGCTCACAGGCCAAATGTGGCCCACTGTTTTTTTTTTAATTGAGATATAATTCACCATTTTAAAGTGTATGATTCAGTGGTTTTTATTTTTTTTTTATTTTTTTTTTATTTTATTTTTTTTTTTAATTTTATTTATTTTATTTTTTCCCCCCAAAGCCCCAGTGGATAGTTGTATGTCGTAGCTGCACATCCTTCTAGTTGCTGTATGCGGGACTCGGCCTCAGGATGAACGGAGAAGTGGTGCCTCGATGCGCACCCGGGATCCGAACCCGGGCCACCAGCATCGCAGCGTGCACACTTAACCACCAAGCCACAGGGCCGGCCCTAGTGGTTTTTAGTATATTCCCAAGGTCCTGCAATCATCACCAGCATCTAATTCCAGAAGTTTCACCACCCCAAAAAGAAACTCCATACCCATTAGTCACTCTCCGTTCCCCATGCCCCCCAGCCCTGGGCACTCACTCACTTATCTATTTTCTGTCTCTATAAATTTGCCTAAATTTGCCTATTGTGTACATGTCATATGAGTAGAATCATACAATGTGGCCTTTTGTGTCTGGCTTCTTCCATTTAGCATGTTTTCAGGGTTCATCCATGTTGTAGCATGGATTAGTACTTCATTGCTTTTTATGGATGAATAATACTCTATTGTATAGACATACCATATTTTGTTTACCCATTCATCAACTGACAGACATTTGGGTTATTTCCACTTTTTGGCTATCATGAATAATGCTGTTATGAACATCTGCATACAAGTTTTTTGTGTGAACATCTTTTCATCTCTGTGTACATGGAAGTGGTATATTATGCTGGGTCATAGGGTAACTGTTTAACTTTGTGAGGAACTGCTGTTTTCCAGAGGCTAAACCATTTTACACTCCCATCAGCAGTGTATGAGGGTTGCAATTTCTCCACATCCTTGCCAACATGTTATTCTCGTTTTTATTATAGCCATCCTAGTGGGTGTGAAGTAATGTCTTGTGGTTTTGAGTTCTCTCTCTCTAATGACTAGATATTGAGCATCTTTTCATGTGCTTTTGGCAACTTGTATATCTTTTTTGGAGAAATGTCTATTCAAATCCTTTGCCCATTTTAAAATTGGGTTATTTGTCTTTTTATTGTTGAGTTGTAAGAGTTTTTTATATATTCTGGTTATAAGTCCCTTACCAGATTTACAATTTGCCATATTTTCTCCCATTCTGTGGGACGACTTTTCACTTTCTTGATAAGTGTCCTTGACACAAAAAAACCCACTGCCTATGTCTGTAAATGAAGTTTTACTGGAACATAGCCATACTCATTTGACAACTACAACTTATCTAAGGCTGCTTTTGTGCCACAATGGCACAGTTCAGTGGTTTCAACAGAGACTGTATGGCCTGCAAAACCTAAAATATTTACTATCTGGCCCTTTAATAAAAAGTTTGTAGTCCCTTGCCTTCTACCATATACAAAGAGCAAAAGACGTCACCCAGGAGGGTAATATGTGCTGAGTACATGTCTAAATCTAGAGATATTCCAGAAGAGCTCTCTAGTTGCAGTACTGGTTTTTCATTACAAAAATTATTTTTACTTAAAGTCCAGGCCATTTTTTCTTATACAACAAAACTAACCTATAGCAATAACTATAATGGCCAACTTATTACATATCATAAAGTCATATGAATAAGTTACTCAACTTCCAGATAACTTAGGTTAGTGCTGGTGAGCACCCAGGTGAGGTCAGACGGGGGGTAGGGAGGACCCCTTTCTTTATTTCGTTCTCTGTCCTACAGGAGAGTACACAAAAGCTGCAGAACAATATCTTTCACATGTGGCGATACTACAACTTTGCCCGCATGAGGAAAACAGCTGACTTTTTCCTTCTCCAATCAAACTATAACTATGTGAACTGGTGGTCGACAGCCCAGAGCCTTGTTATTGTTCTTTCTGGGATCCTTCAGCTGTATTTCTTGAAGCGTCTCTTCAACGTCCCAACAACTACAGATACAAAAAAGCCAAGATGCTAAGCTAAAACGACTATAGCGCCCTGGCTCTCCTTCTGGGGCAGAAGCTTTGTCAAAGCTTTGGTCAAATCACCTTTGTAAAGTTATTGTAAAAAATCAATTTCTCTTGTTAGAAAGTTTTAGTCTATTGCTTTCATCTACGCAGGCAAAATGGCAATAAAGTAATAAAAATGTATAAGTTTTGACGTTGGCTATTTCTAAAGTATGCACTAAATGTTACCATTAAAATACTGCTCATCATATAGCAGTTCCTTAACCTTCACTAAGTCTATTTAGAGGCTAACAGAGAACCTTGAAAGGGAGAGGAGTTGAAAAAAACGGGACAAAAACATAAAACCTGGTTTTCTACATTGCATACAAAAACAGGAGTTGGTAGACTGCTTTTTCATAGTTGAAAAATGTTTTATTTTTAGAAATGTCACCTTTGGAATTTAAAACAAGCAGTATATTCGTTAAAGAAATTGTTTTACAATACAGGTAGTTTTAAAAAATTTGTCTGAAATGTTTTTTTTTTTTTAAATATTGTAATAATTCTAAAAATAATTTTGGGAGGCATGGGGAAGGATGGAGGAGTTGAATTATTTCAGGGTCTCTGATTAGTGCTTTTTGTCCAGTCAGGTAGATAAAGGTTGATAAGAGAAATTATGTTTTAGGAAATCAAGGTGATGAAAATAACATTCAGCCTGGGATCACACCACGCAAGAAAAAAGAAAAGATCAAGGAAAAAAAAAAAAGCTTGTAAAAATCAAGATAATATAATCAAACTATACTCATTAGATCCTACTCTTAGTAACAGAAATAGTATATGCAATATAAAAATAACTCTTACCATTTATTCAACACCTATCTTTTGTCAGGCACTGTGCTAGGCGCTTTACAATCATGATTTCTGATTCTAAAAACCATTCTTAGGTGGATAATTAACACCATTTTTTGAAACAGAAAAAGAAAATAAAGCTTATTAAAGTTTAACGACTCGGGGCCCGCCCGGTGGCTTAGCAGTTAAATGCACGCACTCCGCTACTGGCGGCCCGGGTTCGGATCCCGGGCACGCACCGACGCACCACTTCTCCAGCCATGCTGAGGCCGCGTCCCACATACAGCAACTAGAAGGATGTGCAACTATGACATACAACTATCTACTGGGGCTTTGGGGGAAAAAAAAAGGAGGAGGATTGGCAATAGATGTTAGCTCAGAGCCGGTCTTCCTCAGCAAAAAAAAAAAGAGGAGGATTAGCACGGGTGTTAGCTCAGGGGTGATCGCCCTCACTCAAAAAAAAAAGTTTAACGACTCATCTAAGGCCATGGAGCTGGTAGGTATCAGAATTGGGGTTTGAATCCAAGTTTTTCTTCCACACCACACAGCACCTACCATATAGAAAATTAGGAGAGCAAACTGTTCTTATTATTTTATCCAAATTTCATTTGTATAATCACAGCCATGACCTACTATTCTATCTTTCATAGTACTAATAAATAATTAAGAAAATTCATGTGTTCTTATCATGTGTTTGGAAAACAGTGTTATCACAGATAACAATCAGCTATTCTTGTCCTCAGTTCCAACAATTCAGAACCTGTTACTCAAAACAAGAAGCCCTCTGATTCAAATATAAAACATAGTATTCTATTTAGTCACAAAGATCTGAAACCCCATTCTTGAGGCATTTGTGTGTGTAAGAATCCAGCCTGCAATGGTCCATAATAGAAGATTAAACTAAGAAGTCCCTGAAGCAGTCACAGTGTTGACAAAATTCAACATGATGGTGGAGCCTACACAGACACAGGAAACAAAGCTAGGCCCTTCCACACAGCCATAAGTCCTTGCGATGATTTCATTTTAAGTCAATGTCTCTTCATGCCGCACATATTCCCCAATGTCTGCTTGATGAAATACCACAATCGCCATGGGGTCTACTTTCCTGCAGTCTTGTGTAGACTTTGCTGCCACCCCAAAACCCTAAGATTCAAAAGAAGAGACACTGATTCACTCAAGTAATTCAATAAGCACGCACTGAGGGCTAGAAATAACAAGGATGAAAAAAATACAGTTCTTCAAAGAATTCAAAAGATGCTGAGAATTTAGTCTCTCAAGCACACAAACTGAAAATACACCCTTCTTGAAAAAAACATACTTGATTTTTGTAACAGCTACCATCTCTACTCACCAAAGGGATGTCTGCCATGGAGTACACCACCACTCCCTGGTACTGAGAAGTATTTTCAGTGATCCGGCCCAGTCCAGATTTCAACACATGGTTCCCATACAGGAAAGACTGCTCTGCTCCAGGCTTTATCCACACTTTATACTATAAGAAAGAGAATTAAATCCAAGAGACATAAAAATGTCTACCAGCCAACAGTTACATCCCTGCAGGTAAGCTAGCTGCTGGATCTGTGAATAATTTGTTCAAAGAATTTTAAGGAAATGAGACAAAGATGTATGTTTCCCTCAAACTGTTCACCCCCTGAACAGAACTGCCAGGAGGTTCTTTGCTCAACTCTACAAGGAACTTCTCCCTTGGACAGTTGAACAGCTCTTCTTCTAGACCCCACTATGCTGCTCATCACAGCCACCTATTTGCTTTTCGATCTTCAGCTGGGTCTGCATAGACTTTTCTCCTTTGCTGGAGATAACTAAAACTACACTGCCACATAGCACTCCTACCCCTGGGCCCTAATCACGCCCAAGCAGCAAGACCTACAAATATCTCCATGTGCTGGCACTGACCCCAAGCACTGTCGGGGACTCCCTGTCAGAGAAGCTGCCCAATTATCTGCGTTCTGATGTGGGCCGCATCCTTGACTTCCTCCATCCCCAGTGGCAGACTGGAAACCACCCCACAAACCTTGGCATAAGGTGCAAGATAATCCAGAGCTGTGATGTGCAATCGGAACTTGTGGGTCTTAGTGAATTTTCCAAAGCAGGTCCCCAGCGACACCAGCTTGTCACCGGAGATATTAGCGGCCAATTTCATGATCTTCTCGCTAAAGGAGTAAGAAAGAAAGTGTCAGATGAGTGACGCTGGTGGGACCCAGGCCCCTACCCGGGTCCATGCTGCCCACCGCCCCCGCCTCACCTCACGTAGTACACCCGGTCGTTGTGCAGCCTGAAACAGTAGGTGCCGTCGGGCCGGTCGACCAGCAGCTGAAGATTCTCCCCGATGCTGAGAGCAAAAGGAGGACTGGAGGCCGCGCCCGAACAGTCTCGTCCCGGCACCGCGCCCCTACTCCCCCCACGCCCCTCCCGGCCACACACACACTCCCTCTTCCACCCCGCGCACTCACTATTTTGCTATCTTCTCAAACATTACGCGGGTCTCCTCTTCAGTCAAAGGCCGCATTTTCCCTCTGGGTTGGAACACAGGATCCTCGTGCCTCAATCGCCGGAAACGGAAGTCAGCCGCCAGCCGCTCCCTGGCAACCCCAAAGCCTACCTCTCTAGCTGCTTTTCAGTTGTTCCCCACGCTAGCGCCCCGTAGTCTGGAGGACCGTCGGGGTAAGACAGCCGGCCAGATGAGAAACCATAGAGACCGGAAGTATGCCCCGCTGCTTCCGGTCCTAGATTTGGAGCCAGCGCCCTCCCTGGGCCGGAGAGGAAGTGCCGGTGCTGCCGGGAAGATGGCGGCGATGGCGACAATCCCTTCCTCGACTACGGCCTTGGCCACGACGACGGCCACCGCAGCAGCTCTCGGGGAGGTGGAGGATGAAGGACTCCTGGCGTCGCTGTTCCGGGACCGCTTCCCGGAGGCCCAGTGGCGGGAGCGGCCCGATGTGGGCCGCTACCTCCGGGAGTTGAGCGGCTCGGGGCTGGAGCGGCTGCGGCGCGAGCCCGAGCGCCTGGCGGAGGAGCGGGCGCAGCTACTGCAGCAGACGCGCGACTTGGCCTTTGCCAACTACAAGACCTTCATCCGCGGCGCCGAGTGCACCGAGCGCATCCACTGCCTCTTTGGCGACGTGGAGGCGTCGCTCGGCCGTCTGCTCGACCGCTTGCCCAGCTTCCAGCAGAGCTGCAGGTGCGGCGGGCGCGGCGCTAAAGGGGCTTTTAACAACTGTTAATAGCTGACATTTATGATGATAGAAATAGCTGACACTTACATAGCGCTTACTACTTGCCAGGCGCTCCTCTGAGCCTGTTATTAATCCATTTAAACTTCACAACAGCCTTCCAGGTAGGTTCTGTTATTCCCATTTTATGTATGAGGAAGTTAAGACAGAGAGGTTAGTGACTGTCCAAGGGCACAGCTAGTAAGTTCCGAAGTCAGAACTGAAACCCAGCAGCACGTCCCTCCCCCACAGGGCTGTTGTAAGCACTAAACAAGGAGAATCCATGCAAAGCACTTATCCTTGGCTCTGACATAGTTAACACTCTACAATTGTCAGCTTAATATATATGCATGTGTATGTAAATATATACACACACACCAGCTTCGACCAGAGGTCATCTGCTCCAAAACTTCCATTGATAGAAAGCTGTCAAGGAAATCCTCCCATTTGGGGGCAGCAAAAATTATCAAAAAAATCCCTCCTTTTTGATCCATATTCTGCTTCCCTAGATCCTCAGTCCATTATCCCTAATTCTGCCTTCCAGCCTTTCATGATAAAAGTTTGTTTTCTTTTAAGTCTTTGGATATTTGACAATAGCTTTGTACCTTTCCACTCCCCCAGAATAGATAGGGGACTTAATAAAGCAGGTCTTTGCAATTACGGAGAACAAATGGAGCCTGTGGTGGCAACTGAGGTTGAATCAACAGCATAGGAGAAGATTAAGAGGCTGAGGGAACTTGGGGGTAAGGTTGTAGCTTCTAGGCTAGTTAGTGCATTATTATGAAAATATAAGAACAGCTATTATTAAAGGAACGTTTACTCTGTGTCACGTTCTGTGGTGAATGCTTAAATATCATCTCATTTAATCCTCACATCCTTATTCCTACTACTATTTTACCAATGAGGAAACAGTTCATAGAGCCTAAGTACCTTGCCACAGCTAGTTAAGTGGCAGATCTGGGTTCAGATCTTTTTATCATTTATTAGTTGTGTGATCTTGGACAAGTTGCTTAACCTCTCTGAGATTACAGTTTCCTCAAGAGTAATAGTACTTGCCTCATAAGTTTGTTGTGAAGATTAAATCAGATAAACCATCCAGCCGAGTGCCCAGTTAATATTAAATGCTTGGTAATTGTAGCTGAGGTTTGGGTGCAGAGCGGTGAGCAACCAACGTTCTCCTGATTGTTACTAGGAACTTTGTGAAAGAGGCTGAGGAGATCAGCTCCAGTCGACGGATGAACACCTTGACTCTAAACCGGCACACAGAAATCTTGGAAATCCTCGAGATTCCTCAGCTCATGGACACCTGTGTTCGGAACAGCTATTATGAAGAGGCCCTGGAGCTTGCAGCCTACGTACGCCGACTGGAAAGGAAATACTCCTCCATCCCTGTTATCCAGGTAGCCAACTCACCCGGAGATGACTCAAACTGATATTCTTGTAATCAGTAAATCTGTGGTCATGACTGAACCTTTAGGCAGAAACCTTAGGGCAACACTCTGCATGTTTCACATCAGTTTCTGCCAGCAAGGCAGGCTTGAACATAAAACATACATTCGTTCATTCATTGAACTGATAAATATTAATCATGTGCCAGGCACTGATGTAGGTGCTGAGGATACAGTGTGAACAAAGCAGACAGGGCCCTGGCTCTCATGAATGTAACCTGAGAATTGGCAAATAAATGAATAAATAATATGATCCTTTCAGATAGTGATAAGTGTCTGAAGAAAATAAAACCAGGGAATGGAATAGAAGGAGACTAGGGTGGGTTACTCTAGGTAGAGTGGTCAGGAAAGACTCTTCTGGAGAGAGAACATTTATGCTGAGACCCAGATGACGAGAAGGAGCCAGCCACACAAAGGTGTGGGGAGAGAGCAAACCAGAAAGTGGAAAGAATAAGTACAGAGGGCTGAAGAGGGAAGAAATTGGAATGTTTAAGAAATACAGGGCCGGCCCCGTGGCTTAGCAGTTAAGTGCGCATGCTCCGCTACTGGCGGCCCGGGTTCGGATCCCAGGCGCACACCAATGCACCACTTCTCTGGCCATGCTGAGGCCACGTCCCACATACAGCAACTAGAAGGATGTGCAGCTATGACATACAACTATCTACTGGGGCTTTGGAGGGAAAAAAAAAAAAAGGAGGAGGATTGACAGTGGATGTTAGCTCAGAGCTGGTTTTCCTCAGCAAAAAGAGGAGGATTAGCATGAATGTTAGCTCAGGGCTGATTTTCCTCACAAAAAAATAAAAAAGAAAAAAATGAAAAAGAAATACAAAGACAGGGGCCGGCCCCGTGGCGTAGCAGTTAAGTGCATGCACTCCGCTGCTGGCGGCCCGGGTTCGGATCCCAGACGCACACCGGTGCACTGCTTGTCAGGCCATGCTGTGGCAGCATCCCACGTAAAGTGGAGGAAGATGGGCACAGATGTTAGCTCAGGGCCAGTCTTCCTTAGCAAAAAGAGAAGGATTGGCATGGATGTTAGCTCAGGGCTGATCTTCCTCACAAAAAAAGAAAAAAATACAAAGACAGCCAGTGTGACTGGATCGCAGCCAGCAAGGGGAGAGCAGTAGGAAGCAGGTGAGGCAGGAGAACCAGGCAAGGCCTGTAGGCCCCAGTGAGTAGTTTCATCTGGCTATGGTGAACCAGATCTTTGCTGGTGAACCTATATGCATCAGCTTTAGAAAATCTACTTTGTATGTTAGGAAAGCAGTGGGAATGTTGGTCTGCAACATTCAGGGTTAGTGGAATGGGTTCCAGGGAGTGCCTTTCCCTGTGTGTGTGTGTAATGTGACTCACCCCCTGTATTGTCAGGGCATTGTGAATGAAGTGCGCCAGTCCATGCAGCTGATGTTGAGCCAGCTGATCCAGCAACTGAGGACCAACATCCAGCTCCCTGCCTGCCTCCGTGTCATTGGCTTCCTGCGGCGCATGGATGTCTTCACTGAGGCTGAGTTGAGGGTGAAGTTTCTTCAGGCCCGAGATGCTTGGCTCCGTTCCATCCTGACTGCCATCCCCAATGAAGATCCCTATTTCCACATCACAAAAACCATCGAGGCCTGCCGTGTCCATCTGTTCGATATCATCACCCAGTACCGTGCCATCTTCTCAGATGAGGACCCACTGCTGCCCCCTGCCATGGGTGAGCACACCGTGAATGAGAGTGCCATCTTCCATGGCTGGGTGCTGCAGAAAGTCTCACAATTCCTGCAGGTGCTGGAAACCGACCTTCACCGGGGGATAGGCGGCCGCCTAGACTCTCTGCTGGGCCAGTGCATGTACTTTGGGCTGTCTTTCAGCCGGGTGGGGGCTGATTTCCGGGGCCAGTTGGCTCCAGTTTTCCAGCGGGTGGCCATCAGCACTTTCCAGAAAGCAATTCAGGAAGCAGTGGAGAAATTCCAGGATGAAATGAACTCCTACACCCTCATCTCGGCTCCAGCCATCCTGGGCAGCAGTAACCTGCCTGCTGCTGTGCCAGTCACTCAGCCAGGGACCCTGCAGCCGCCCATGGTGCTCTTAGATTTCCCACCCCTTGCCTGTTTCCTCAACAACATTCTGGTCGCCTTCAACGATCTACGCCTTTGCTGCCCTGTCGCCCTGGCACAGGATGTGACTGGGGCCCTGGAGGATGCCCTTGCCAAGGTGAGCGCATGCTGTTGGCTCTCTACTGGTGCCTTCTTTGGTAACAGGCGGCCAGACTTTTGTAATAAACCAGTCCATGTGACAGTGGTGCCTCCTGACTTAGAGAGGTTTACTGTGGACTTTTCTGGTTGAGAAGCTGTGGTTAGTCCTCCTTCAGGGGACCTAGAGCAATCCAGGAAGTGGCTCACCTGTAGTAACGATTCAGTAATATAGTAGTTTTCTATTGCTACATGACAGACTTGCTCAAACGTAGCAGCTTAAAACAACATAATGTTCATCATCTCCCAGTTTCTATGGGTCAAGAGTCCAGGCACAGCATAACTGGGTCCTCTGCTCACAAGATTGCAATCAAAGTGTCAGCCGAACCACGGTCTCACCTGAAGCTCGGGGTCCCCTCTTTTTTTTTTTTGCTGAGGAAGATTTGCCCTGAGCTAACATCTGTTGCCAATCTTCCTGTTTTTTTGCTTGAGGAAGATTAGCCCTGAGCTAACATCTGTGCCAGTTGTCCTCTATTTTGTATATGGGTCATCACCCATGCTGTGGTGGTGTAGGAGTGGTGTAGGTCCGTGCCTGGGATCCAAACCCTCGAACCCAGGCCAGCAAAGCAGAGTGCACCGAACTTAACCACTAGGCCATAGGGCCGGCCCCTCGAGGTCCCCTCTGTTTAAGCTCATTCACCTTGGCTGGTTTCTGTTCCTTGCAGTTGTAGGACTGAGGCCTTCAGTTCCTAGAGGCTGCCCCACTCCATAGGCAGTTCATAATGTGGCTTTTTGATTGTTAAGGGCCAACAGGAGACATCTCTCCATTCTGAGTCTCTTTTAGGGAAGTCCTCAACCCTCTTTTAAGAGGCTCATCTGATTAAGTCAGGCCCATCTAGGATAATCTCCCTTTTGATTAATTCAAAGTCAACTGATTAGAGACTTTAATTACATCTGCAAAATCCTTCACCTTTGCCATATTTTATCGCTTAGAAACAAGCCACAAATTCTGCACTCAAGGGGAGGAGATTACACAAAGGAGTGGATAGCAGGGGGTGGGAATCACAAGAGCCATCTTGGAATTCTGCCTAACACAAGTAACGCTACTACTACTATCCTAGTATGGTGCACATTTTTTACACATTTATTTATTTATTTATTTTTTGTGAGGAAGATCAGCCCTGAGCTAACATCTGATGCCAATCCTCCTCTTTTTGCTGAGGAAGACTGGCCCTGAGCTAACATCCTTGCCCATCTTCCTCTACTTTATATGGGATGCTGCCACAGCATGGCTTGACAAGCAGTGCGTCTGTGCGCGCCCGGGATCCGAACTGGCGAACCCCGGGCCGCTGCAGCGGAGTGCGTGCACTTAACCGCTTGCGCCACCATGCCGGCCCCTACACATTTAAATCTTTAGATAGGGGGATGCTTCTTAGAATTGATGACATAATCATCAGCCAAGCGGCTATTGTGATGTGGTTGTATAAAATCTTTCTGTTGATGTCTTCCTGTAAGAAAGGGCAAGAGGGCCGGCCCCGTGGCTTAGCGGTTAAGTGCGCATGCTCCGCTGCTGGCGGCCCGGGGTTCGATCCCGGGCGCACACCGACACACCGCTTCTCCGGCCGTGCTGAGGCCGCGTCCCACATACAGCAACTAGAAGGATGTGCAGCTATGACCTACAACTATCTGCTGGGGCTTTGGGGGAAAAAATAAATAAATAAAAAATTAAAAAAAAAATGAGCAAGAAAGCATGAGCACTGAAGCCTTTTAGAGTCAATTGAATTAAGATAATAGGAATCAGCTAATATTCATGTAGAACTCACTTTGTGCCAGGTAGCATTCATCATACTTTACATGCATTAACACTTGATCCTCACAACCCTATGAAGTAGGTCCTGTCATTGGCCCTACTTTATAGATGAAGAAACCGAGGTAGAGAGGGTACAGAGTGCTTAAATAATGACTTGGAAGTCAGAGAATGAGTAAGTGGCACAGCTGGGACTTGAACCCAGGGTGTCTAGCACCAGAGTCTGTGTTCTTAACCCTGTCACTGTGACACCTGTCTGTAATGTCAGCTAGGCTGCTCTGTTATTTGTATATGGAACTTCTTTTCCAGCTGTTTTCTTTACAATTTTCTAGTGATCCTAGATTCTTGTAACCTCAAAGGCCTTCCTCAGTAGAAACCTTTTATAGTTTTGCTTCATTTTCCTGGACCCAACATAGTTCTGGTCCATCTCCCATGGGAGTCAAGAACTGTGTATTCTGTGTGTAATTTCATGATGCTCTTCCACTGGAACTGGACGCTGCTCCAGTAATGAAACAAGCTGGGTCAGAAATACATCAGTGATGTGAGAGAATTGTGGAGATTGACCACAGTTCTGAATGTAAACAAGATGATATAATGTACTGTTTGGAACTACTTTCTTCATGAAAACTTGAGGGCTGGACATTTGTGCTTCGTTTCATGCACTGCTGATGGTGATAGACCACCCCAGTGATTGATGGTGTCCTTGTCTCTTAGGTAACCAAAATAATCCTGGCCTTCCATCGGGCCGAAGAGGCTGCCTTTAGCAGTGGGGAGCAAGAGCTTTTTGTCCAGTTCTGCACTGTCTTCCTGGAAGATCTTGTTCCTTATTTAAATCGCTGTCTCCAAGTCCTTTTTCCACCAGCTCAGATAGCACAGACCTTAGGTAAGAGAAAGGAGGAGAAAAGATTTTTAAAACTACCTTACTGATATAATTCACATACTAAATAATTCACCCATTTATAAAATTCAGTGTTTGTTATTAAATGTACAGAGGTGTGCACCATTAGCACCATCCAGTTTGAGAACATTTTCATCACCCCAAAAAGATCCCTCATGCCCATCTGTAGTCATTCCCCAATCCCACCCTTAGCTCCTGGCAACCACTAATCTTTCTGTTGGAATCGATTTGCCTTTTCTGGACATTCCAAATGGAATCATACAGTATATGTATATCTGGCTAAATGGAAGAAGCCAGTCACAAAAGAACCACATATTGTATGATTCTGTTTATATGAAATGTTCAGAGAAGGTGTTTTTAAAATATTTTTCCCAATTTGCCTTCACTCCCTGTACCCTCTATCTCTGTGCCTGAGAAGGGGTTGTGGGAGGCACAGCTTCTCAAAGGGCAGCGGGCCAGTGCTCACATCAGCAGAGTGGCTGCTCTCGGCTTTCCCCCGGCGTCTCCCTTGGGCCTGTCACAGGGAAGCTGGTGCCCACGGAGGTTCTCTGGGGTCTTGCTCCATCTGCCCTACACTGTGCTATTCCCAGTTACCTTCAAAGTCTCACTGTATTACCGTATAGCTTCCTGTCCCATATCACAAAGATGAATTTTATTGTGTTGAAATATGGTGGTTGTGTCTGAACTTCCTTTTTTTTTTTTTTCTGTGACATCAATATTTAAATTTATTAAATGTTTTTTCCATTCCACTTTCCCTACCATCTGGGTCAGGCGTTCCACCTGCTCAGCTCTCCAAGTATGGAAACCTCGGGCATGTGAACGTCAGCGTCGTCCAGGAGCCTCTCGCCTTCATCCTACCCAAGAGGGAGATGGTCTTTGGTCTAGACGAAAAGGAGCTAGTGCCTGAGCTCACAGCTCCAGCCCCAGAACTCCCCGCCGAGGAGCCGCGCCCCGAGCCTGTCACTCCGGCCTTCCCCGAGGGAGCACAAGAGGAGCTTGGGTCGGCGGAGCCGCTGCCGGCCGACGCGCCCACTGCGGGCACCTGACAGGCGTTCCCGCCCCAGAACCCGCGCGGTCCCCGGCCCTGGACGCCCGCGCTGGGAAGGAGCGCTGCCGCGGTGGTGGAGGCCTCCGAAAGCGCGAGTCCGTCCCAACGGAGAGGCTGCCGAGGCATTCATGAGAGGAGATGAAAGGGGGAACCTCCGGGTCGCTCGGTAAATGGTTGATTAAACGATGATAAATGGAAGCCAATAATAAAGCTGGTTGACGTCACCGAGAGGCAGGCAGCGCAGTGTGGGCGGCGCTGGCGCTCCCGGAGGGTGCGCGGGAACTACGCTTCCCGGTGTCCCTGGCGGCGGAAGCCTCGGCTACCGGGGCCGGCGAGGGACGCGGGCGGCTCCGCTGGGGCGCGCCATGGGCCTGCTGGGGTCAGGGCTGCTGCTGGGGTCGCTGCAGAGGGGGGCGCGTCGCAGCGTGGGGCCGGCCCTGCTGTGGGGAGATCGGGCGGCGGGCGGCGGCGCCCGGGCCTGCAGCTCCACGCCTGCCCACGGCCTCGAGGGCCCGGCGCGCCGGCGCTCCTACTGGCGCTACGTGCGGCGTCTGGTGCAGGGAGCGCCCTTGCCGCCCTACTCTCGCGTGTGCCAGGTGGGGGACCCGGCGCTGCGGGCCCTGGCGGCCCCGGTAGAGCCGGCGCAGCTGGCGGGGCCTGAGCTGCAGCGGCTGGTGCAGCAGCTGGTGCAGGTGATGCGGCGCCAGCGCTGCGTGGGCCTGAGCGCGCCGCAGCTCGGGGTACCGCTGCAGGTGCTGGCCCTGGAGTTCCCCGAAGAGCTCTTCCGCGCCTATGCGCCGCCCCTGCGCGAGGCCCGGCAGATGGAGCCCTTTCCCCTGCGCGTGTTCGTGAACCCCAGCCTGCGGGTGCTGGATAGCCGCCTGGTTACCTTCCCCGAGGGCTGCGAGAGCGTCGCCGGCTTCCTGGCCTACGTGCCCCGCTTCCAGGCCGTGCAGATCTCAGGTGCGGGGCGGCGGGGGCCCTGGGGCGGCTGGGTAAGCGCCTGCGTGTCTCGCCTGTGGAGGCGGCGGCCTCGGGTCCCACGAAACAGTTTCCGCAAGGTTCCAGTTAAGGTGTAGACACGTTGATGGTTGATCAGCGGAGCCTCCCGGCATGAACCAAGGGCAGGACTCAGGAGTGGAGGGGATTAAGGCCTGACAGATTGGGATGGGGAAAGAGGCTCCTGTGAGAGCAGAGCCAGCTCAAGTGGGGCACATGGGTGGATGGCCCAGTCCCGCTTTTAGCTCTCACTCGGTCCTCTACTCTCTGCCCTCTCGCTCGCTTTGTGTCTCTGCCACACACACACACTCACTCTTCTGCTCTAATTAGATTTGTCATGGTGGAGTGGGAGAAGTGGGACCCAGGTTTGCCCAGCCCGGGATAATGAGGCAGCCATTCCCAGTCTGTCATACCACAGGGTGTTTTTCAGAATGTGGTTCTTTGCTGGGGTTGGGATGATTGTTCCTCTTGAGCAAGCCACTTGGTCCAAGAGGGTCAAGAAGTCAACGGTATCCCTTTATTTTATATTGTACCAAGCTGAAATACTTTTGTTAGGAATTAAGAGCAAACAGTAGTGCTTCAGAAGTGAGAGGAGTGTTCAGAAGGGAAGCACCTTGGGAAGATCATTTCTCGTCCCAGCCCCATAGTGGCCCAGCAACCTAATTGTCAGAGTTGGGAACCAGGTTGAATACTTGGTAACAGGCAGAGTTAAGGCATCATTTTGAGGAAAGATAGTGGCTGCTGTCAACATTCCTTTCTGATGCCTCCCGTAACTAGGAACAGCCAGGGGCAGGGAAAGGGTAGGGAGGTTGAGAATGATGCAGTTCAGCACGTCCTCACCCAGGCTGTCACTTCCTTTGCAGGCCTGGACCCTAGAGGAGAGCAGGTGGTGTGGCAGGTGAGTGGGTGGGCAGCCCGCATCATCCAGCACGAGATGGACCACTTGCAGGGCTGCCTGTTTATTGACAAAATGGACAGCAAGACATTTACAAACATCCACTGGATGGAGGTGAATGACTAAAGCTTTCCCGCTGCATTTGAGGATTCTGAAAACCAAGACAAAAACATTTCGGCTTGGAGCTGGGCACCTCTTACTTGGCATCAACTTTCTATTGGCTTGGCTGTGACAGAAAACAGTGGCCTGCCAAAGCATGCCAAACTGAGATCGAGGAAGGTGTTTAAAATGTTTGCCCTGAAATGAACTATGAACAAAATATTGCCTTCAACTTGAGAAGAAAAATAACTCTGCTAAAGGAGTGGACATTTCCCGGCTATTTTGTATGGAGATAAGTAGGGCAGATAACCACTCTCAGTAGACATGATTTCTTGAGACCTGTATAATCTATTCTCAAGGTCAAGATTTGATAATAACGTGGTCCCAAAATATCAAAGCTGTGTTTAAAAATGCAGGTGAAGGCTATGGCTGACCACTTCACCAAGTTCTTATTTTTACAAAAGGCTTGTGTGTGTCTTACCTGCAGAGTCCTTCTTTGTTTTGGATACCAGTGTGCTTGTGAGAGTAAAACATAGGACAGAAGGGCCCCAGTTCTTGGAAGTGTTTAATGACAATATTAATGTAAATGAGCACCCACACATCTTAACAGGTTCAGATACCGTTTGGGTCTCCACCTTTTGCCTTCCACCTTTAACAGAGCTGGGGAAGATTTTTCCGCTGAGATCTCTTGGGCAGCTGGTACTTCGCTCATTCTTTGGGAGGAGGCCATGGAGGAGGGCTAGGAGAGGGGTGATAGCTGAGAAGGAGCAATGAGCCTCTTCCTGTCACAGTTAGGACAGAAACAGAAAGCAGAACTTGTGCTTCCTGGTCACCACACTTATTTTGGAAAAATAAATTAACATCACACTGACCAATGTTTAGCCTTAAGTACTGTCAGAGCTTTGTCAAGAGGTGAAGCAACTCATTTCCTTAGATACTTGTCTTACCTCATTTTTATGTTGAGTTTTGCCATGCAGGTACTCTTACCAAACAAAATCCTCAAAATCCAAGTACTTAGTAGTAAGAAGTCCAATGAGTTGTTTAGAGAAAACATGTTTTAAACAGCAGTTAGTTAAATGAACCCAGGAAAGACCCAATCTTCTCTATGGCTTTCTCTAAACAGGCCAAGTCTGGGAGCCTGTGAGGCCAAGCAAAAGTGAACCAGCTCTCTGTGCATTAAACTTTGGAGAGGAACAGGACCCAGCACTTCCCCCAGGTGAGGTTAGAGACTCAACCCTTGGGGAAGTCTCTAGAAAGGGCTCATTTATACTGAAAACATGGATCCTTATGAAAAATAGAATTCAAGGAGCCTCCTTTCCCTTGGACAATGTTCAGAAGCTCCTGCAGGGTGGCGTCAGAACGTTCTGCGGCTTCCTTACAGTGCTCTGAGGTTAACATTCCTTAGTAATGCCTTTGTAATACAGATCAGTAGCATGTGCCTGCAGCTTCTTGACTCAGGCCCAAGAGTAAATGATTTCTTAGAGTGGACCTGGGAGAAGGCCTGAGACTGTCTATCTTGCTGACAATATATGAGAATTACTGTTGTAACCAAATCCACATTGGAGGAAGGATTTGGTCAACTAGCTCAAGACACTACAGCCCAAAGGCAACAAAGCCTCACATTTCCAATAAAGAAAATTTCCCCATCTCAGGCAGATAGATCAGCCACAAAACCAAACACACAAATCAGCATCTCGAGCTAATGCAAGTTTTAGAAGTCAGCTTCCACAGTGAAATCAATGTAGGCAGAAGGTTTAGAACAGAAACCCCAGGTAGGGAAGAAGTGAATTTCAGAGTAAGCATTTAGGGGAGGAAATTCCTCTGCACGAATTAGTCACGTTTAACAGATGGTGAGGCCACAGTGTCAGTCTGAGGTTAGTTTCAGCCTCAGTAGTGAACAGGACATTCATTCGCCCTATCACTGGTGGAGAGAGAGAAATGGAAAGGCAGGGCGTCTATGAAAGCTGTCACTAGAGCTATGAGGCTGAACCATAGCCCTAAAGTTTCTGTTAACCCTTGAGACTTGTCAAGGTGTTCAAGCAGAAATGAGGAAGGTTTAAAAAAAAAAAAAAAAAAAAGCAGGGACCTTCTGATTCAAGTAAAGTTACCTGGAGGTAGAAGTAAAAAACACAGCTAACTAAAATGAAGCAGTACAAGCAGGGGGCAGCTGTTAGTCCAGCATTTACAAATGGTAATTGGCTGAGGGCGCATAACTAACCAAGAACTCTGGGAACTCCTGAGTGAGTGACAAAGATCCCAGCCATAGTTGCTGCATAAGTGTCATCTGGAGGTCAGGCCCACTGATGCTCTAGGCGACAAGAGGAGGGCTAACCCACCAGCACTGGAGAGGAGCACTGGGCCCGAGCCTTCAAGGAACCAAGCAAAGTTGGCTCAACTCAGCAGATGCTCCTAATCAGATCAAAGAAACACCACAGGGCAAGGCTAAAATGGCCTAAGAGTTGGCCACATAATCAGTTCTGGACCATTCGGGTTTGAAAACAGAGGAATACCGGTTTTTGGAGGGGCAGGAGAGCTAAAACCACCAGAGGTCAGGCCTTTTCTGTGTGTTCATATGGTTGTAGTCAATGTGTGACAGCCTCTACTGCTTCTGCTCCCCATCAGACAGCATTTCCAGGGCTGCCAGCTCTGGAGCTGTGGGTGTCTCACTAACAGGGGTCACAAATTCCAATGGCCACAGGGGCTGGGCAGGCAACACAAATGAGTGACGCAGTCAGTCGCTGTGGGGACAGGTGGGCTGGAGAGCATGTTCCTCTTCTGAACAGGGCAGCCCCTGCTCAGCTGCCACTGACAGGCTGCCTCATGGGGATGCAGGCCCAGGGTTACCTAAAGAAATCTGAATCTTTACATCAATTCTTGATTTTAAAATGTTGGCAGTAGATCAAACTAAACACAGCTACAGGGCCGGCTCCGTGGCTTAGCGGTTAAGTGCGCGCGCTCTGATGCTGGCGGCCCGGGTTCGGATCCCGGGCGCGCCCCGAGGCACCACTTCTCCGTCCAACGCGAGACCGAGTCCCACGTACAGCAACTAGAAGGATGTGAACCTATGACATACAACTATCTACCGGGGCTTTGGGGGGAAAAAAATGAATAAATAAAATCTTTAAACACAGCTACAGGCCATGTCTGGCCCACAGGCCTCCCAGTTTGCAGCCTCTGATCTGGAGGCTGGACAACAAGAACTGGCCAGGTCCCATAAACACCCCCAGCCACAGTTTTGTGGCCTTGAGGGAAGAAATGTCTGGAGAACAGGCCTGGGAACTGCAGCAGTTGGCAACATTCCTACTTCCTACTCTGCTGAAGAGAAGAGAACAGAGAGAGAAAACCAGAGGGTCTTTCCACTGGAAGCAAGCGTGGCCTTCAAAGAGCCCCAGAGAAAAATCAAAGATGAAATCACTCAGGTGGCTCAAGAAGGGAAAAGGATTTATTAGCCCATTTCCAGGACAGGAACCCGGGGGCAGTGGCTGGGTTCAGTGTTCTCACATTCACAGGGAAGAAAAGGCAGCAATGAAGCCGCCTGACTGCCTTCACTCGTTCTCATCTACATAGCTTTGTGCTCACAGAAACCATCCTCTCCTCCTGCAGGGAGGACACACGGCCCGGGATGCCGAACTAGGAGGGCGCAAATGGTTGGCCTGACTCAGCCTTTGCAGGCAGCGCTTAGGCTCGACACCCAGCGCATCAGCCATTCTGTTCACAAGGAGCAAAACTTGAGTCTAGAAGGAACGGGCAGCGGGGGCTGGCAAGCCCTGCTGAAGGTCTGCTGCACCAGCCCCACAGTATGGGCTGCTCCCTCTCCTTGACGCTTCCAGGAGATTTTAACTTTATTTATAAACGACAAAAATCCAAGCAGCATTAATTTCGGGGAACAAAAAAAGATTTAAAAAAAAAAACAGAGGGACAGGACAAGGAGCATCCAGAAGAGGAAGAAGAGGAGGAAGAAGTGGGAAGAGCCAGTATTCCACCAGGTGCCGAATGTGCTTCTGCGTCTCTGCAGCCAGGGAGGCCCTTCCTTCCTGCTCCCCGCTGGCAGCCAGACAGCAGAGGGGACGCTGTAGTGGCTGTAGGACGAGCCCTGGAGCCCTGTCCGGCCACTGACATGGGGAATGCTATGGATTTACCCCAGTCGACCTCCCACCTTCACCATCACCCGAGTGAAAAAGCTTTTAACTCTCCTGTCCAAAGTCCTCTGAGAATTTCTTCACTTTCAGGAGGTCCTCTGCATTCACGGTGGGCCGAGTGGTGGCCAAAGACCGGAGCATGTCCGACTGAAAGACAAGAGCGTGCAGCTGCAGAGGAGCCAGCCGCAGGTCCTCAGCCTCCCCAAATCACAGACCCATGCAGACGAGGCCTGCCTTCAAGGTCACCCCCTGCCCCAAATGCAGAACTCCCTATGGTTGCCTGGCTTCTGCCTGAATGCCTCCTGTGACAGGGACACACTTTCCTCTTGAGGCAGCTCATATCATTTCCAGACAGGCCTACTTGCGGTCTGAAAGAATCTAAGCTCCCATCATCTCTTAACTCCTGCGAGAAGCTCTTTCTAACTGCATGCCCACCACGCCGGCCACAATGGCAGACACCTGCCACATAGAACAGGCAAGACCATTGGCAAGACCAGGACAAGGAGAGGTCAAGACTAATCGGGTGAGAGGCTGCCTGTGCAATTGCATCAGATCAAACTGTGCTAACAGACATTTACTGGTTCCTTCTGTGTACAAAACAAGCCAAACCCATGGAATCATGGCGTCACATCATCTGGCCTTGACTCTTCCTGCTGAAGAAAATAAAATGCTAACACTATGGCCTCCATCCTTGGCTCCCACTGAGTCCAATGGCAGGAGCCCCAGCTACCCAGAGCCCCAAAGGCCATTCTCTGTTTAGAAGGAGCCACAACAGCCCAGGACAGAGAAGGGGAGCAGCTTACTTTTACTCTTGGACTCAAGCCACCAATTTTCTGGGCTCTTGTGCAGTCCTCTCTCCCAGCTGGCCACTTACCATGCAAACCACAGGCTCTAAGAGTTTGTCACCTGGGACATCCATCCAAGTCATCTCCATGGCCCCTGGGTCCCCTGGTGAGCATGGGGTCAGGAGGTCATCAATCATAATGCTAGGGTTGGTGCGGGA